TCCCCTTTGGTTGGGTCTGAACTTTTTTTTGTGTGAATTGGTTGGGTCTGAACTTTTTTTGTGTGAATTGGTTGGGTCTGAACTTTAGATCGATGAATTTTGCCTAGCTGAACATGCTAACATCTTTTGTTTGGCTGGGGATGCACACCTGACTAGAAACAAGTACGGAGTATTACTGATGCATCGTCTACGCATCCTGATATGACCGACCAGTTTAGCTCACCGATCACATCATTAGGTCAACGCTGATTACGTAAGCAAGGTAACGAACGCCTTGTTTTTTTTTCTCCTCACCGTGTGTCTCGTGTGGACATAAGCCGTTGTTAAAGTCCATGGACATTCTTGGAGATCCTGCTGATTCTACGACCAAGAGTGCTAGTACCTCACATGATAAACAGGGATCAGAGAGAGACCGGCCGGGTTCAGTTGAACCGCAGGACACGCATGCATGCATGTTACTCCGTGCTGCTTGTTGCTCGTTGCCACTTTGATCTAGTCAATCAATAACCCGATTTCCTGGATCAATAGTCCATCATCTAGAAGCTGTCATCTGAGCGTTTTTTTTCTACTTTAATTTAATTATGTAGGATGCAGAAATAAAATCTGATTCTGATGCATCTTGCTAGCTAAAGTTCACTCATCATGTAACCGAAAACATCACATGAATGCCCTGTCTAAAGCGGAGGTCACATGATAAGACGGGCAGACAACCTGTTTCGTGTGACGGTGTGAGTGCGATCTGTGGAAGCAAGGAGCTGCTAAGCTAGCGGAAAAGAAAAGCCTGAAAGGCCGCAGGAAAACCACCATGGCGTATTGGCGTGGCGAGCAAAAGGAGATCACCGATGGAAGTGGAACTGAAAGAAACGGCCCCCAGCTCACCATTTCGGTAGTGTCCGGCTACTTTTCTGGTTCCCTGCCACCTTCGCTTACCGTTCTCAAATCGGTTTCTCACCTCGCCTATTTAACGGTAAAAAACCGAGGGTCTCTGTCGGTCCATGCGTGTGCAGGCCACACGCCGGAGTCGATCTAGTGCTTCACTGTCGAATCAACCTGATCAGAAAGAATGGCAGCCAGGGTAAGGAACCTGTGCTTGTTTGTTTACAAATCCAAGTTTTTTCATTCTTTTTCTATTAGAAATCAGCATGCATTTGGCATAAAATGTAGGTAAAAATAATTAATTACACGTTTGTTTTAAACAATTATTGTCAGTTAATCATGATCGGACAAAGTTTATCAAATACAAACAAAAAGGTTGTAAAAATTTGCAATCTAAAACAAGGCCCTGAATTGAAACAATCACTGACAGGGCCTTTGTTTAATTGGCTTATTTATTTTTTATCTATCTTTAATTAATTTTACGACGCATGCATGGAGCATTAAAATGAGGTAAAAAAAAATAACTAGTTACACGGTTTGGTTGTAAAGAACGAAAAATGATCGAACAAATCAAATAAACGAAGCCCTGAACTGAAAATTTGCAATCTGCCAGGAGCTGGAGTGAACGAGAACGACACTGGCAGCAACGCTGGCACGCTGCAGAAGGAGGAGCGCTGAAGAATTTTAATCATATCGCAGTACAGGCGTACAGCACGGAGACCTAAGACTATGACAAGAAATCCACGTTGACACCTAAATCCAAAATAGGTAGCAGAGATTTAAAATCAGTCCTTCAAAAAAGTACCTATACGAGAGATCTATTTTGGTTTATCTGAGAGACACAACCCCTAAATATAGACATCATCTCTCCTGGAAAATCTTATTTATAGAAAGAATTCTCTTTTGAGTCTTGTTGTTGAAGAATATACCGAATAAGGAACTAATATGTCTTGTATTTTGCGTTGTTATTGAAGATAGCCTAACCCCATCCTCCTGTCCAAGCTCGTGAAACAACATCAATGATGGTGGCGAATCGTCCGCTCCGATCCATCCGCTCTGGGCCGTTAAATGTGCCTGTCATCGACGCCAAAAGGCTGCTCGCCATTCATCAACTCACGATAGACACATCACAGTATCACACATCAGCAGAGGGAGGCGTACGTGATACCATACCACGTGGCGGCTTCGACCGAGAGGGCCGGGGCTCGCATCGCGTGCCCGGCGGCGCGCGACGTCGCTCGCTCGATCGAGTCGCGGATCGGCAAGTCCGTCCGCAGGCGGGGCGCGGGGGCGGCAGAGCGTTGCCCCGTCGCGCGCGGCCATGTGATGTGGCGACGTCTCGGCACTGCACCAACCGCTACGCGCTACGGCGCGTGAGCTGGAATGGGATATTCTCCAACCCAGCGTTGCTTGGCTCGGCGCGGCGACTAGGACTAGGCCACGAGTTAGGTGGCCGGTGGCCGCTGCGTGCATGGTTTCTGGTTTCTTACCCCATTTGGTTCAGCAGTGAGCTAGCAGGTCCATTTGTCTGCCAGTCGCGGTAGCCTAGCTGGAGTACCTAGGTTTCTCTGGAAGGGAAGAAGGTGCTCCGGCAAGCTCAAAAGCTGTTTGTTTCTGCTCTGCGCCGACAAAGGACTTACTATTGTTGAATTATGTGGCGCTGGATGACCTCTACGGGTCATGTGCTCTCATATATATATATATAGAAGATGAATACATGGAATGTTACATGCGTGACTATTGGTACACGGCAAGTCAGGAGACACAGCTCCAAGAATAGAGGATTCCCCTACTATGTATAGATATAGCCTTCTATGTTTAACAACTATTACTGCGGTAGTGGATACGGTACGATCGATCGCCAGGTGTTACAGTTGGAGTAGTAATAACAACTGAAACATGCCAGCTGATTGCCGAATACGTTTGCGTTTTGCAACTACGGAGTATATTGGTTGGTTCCTGGCTGTTACTGAAAAAAGAAGGCAGAGCACATCTGGCGTGGGGACACTCGTAGGTCCTAAGTGCAGAGCGCTGCTCTACTGGATGGACCGGCAATATACCAGTACACACGGGTATACTGAAATGTCCAATGTCCAGGCTTGGCCCATTGGAGAATCCGCCTTAATGCTAAAATGCCACCGTCCAAGCCTCCTAAGTCCTAGGGCATCATCTTTCGGCCCATTCAGTACTGATATGAATTCTTTTTCTTCGGACATGTTCATTTCCGTTTTTTTTTGATAAGCAACTTCATTGATCATTAACAGAATCGTACAGTTAGGAGCTCAAAAGGGCTCCAGGATACAAGAGAAAAAGCCTGCAAGACAGGACAATGATGGCGATGTGAGAAATGATTACAAGAGAAACAAAGCGAGGATCTTGATGAATCATCGTTTTAGTCTGCGTAGCTAAAATATGAGTTGTTGAGTTTATATCTCTATGAATCTTCATGATTTCAAAAGAAGAGCCTTGGTTGACTATCTTGAATCTCACTGTTGTTGTTGGCTTCAAAGTCCATAAGGGCTCAGACGTGGCATGAAGAGAGTTTAGATAGGACACCAAGCTTTGATTATCAGATAGCTATGTGTCACCAACCGCAACACTGCATCCACATCAGAAGGAGCTGTAGGGGATCAGGCTGTTGCCAGTCGGAGCTCTGAAGACGGCGGGTTATCTCAAGATGACGCTGGAGTGAAGCCGGTGGCCCAAGACAAGCCCGTTCGAAGCAAGAAGCCCAATCCGCGCGTATCCGGTCCAGAATGGGCGAAGTGATGTAATAGGCCCTGCGAGGCCCAGTCGGAGGCGGCCTGCTCGAGCCCCTTGTAACGGTAGAAGCACAGTAGAGAACTCGGACTTGGTTACTTATCCTGAACCGTGCCCAGCAGGCGACGGCGGCGGCGAGCGCGGCGGTGGCCGGCGTCTCGAGACCTTGCTCCACTTACCCTACTTATCAATACAATCGATAGAACTCCAGTGACACTATGTGACCTTAGCACAATCCAGGAAACATCACAGAACTTGGCGGAGAAGAATAGGTTAGGACAAGCGCGGGAACAAACGAAACCACGGCAGATCTGAGACTTGCCGCTAATATCAAGACGAAGAGCAAGCCAAGATCGAGTCCGAATCCCAATACAGTTGAGGAAGATGGTCAATGGAATTCAGATAAGGTTAGTCTTTCCAATGCTCATTTCACCTCTGAACTGCTGCCCCATTCTGCTTCTGCTAAATGCTAATCAATCTATATGTTACTCTGAATCCTATATACAACAACAGATTGAAGTATGGCCTTGAGACAATTATTACATAGGCATTATGAATTACAGATATACTCGAACGAAATACTGCATCAAGACCAACTTCAGAGAAACCAAATGAAGAACAAGTACCATTTATGCATCAAGGTTGATGACATTGGAAGTAGAATGTATAGGTAGCTATGTGCTATTTCCTCCGTTTCAAACTATAATTCACTTTAGCTTTGTCCTAAGTCAACTTAAGTAATTTGGACTAAGTTTTCAGAAAAATATATTAACATCTACAAGTTTAAATAAATACATATTTCATAGAGAATTTAATGAAACTAATCTGATATTGTTGATGTGGGTGCGTTCTCTACAAACCTGATCAAAGTTTGTAACTGAAGAACTAACCTTCTGTTACAAATTACTTTGACAAGCAATTTAGGAAATACTTCCTGCTGTTATATCTTTACATGTACACCATTTGCACAATCAATTTAGAGAAAAAAGGTAAAATAAAGTAAGTTTATGGATCAAACATAAATTATACAGAATATTTCTATGCAACAAAATGTGCAGCAGCAAAATCCTTTAGTCAACGTAACTCTGAACTATTTACAAAAAAATGACCTGATTGTAGTATGCAAAAAGAAGATAAATCAGATAATAGATAACATATAGTTGAAATACTTGATGGTTTCAGGAATGCGATTTGCCAGAGAAACATTGCACAGCTGATTCAATGGCATTTGAGCTGAATCCGATCATAAAATGCATTACTGCAACAACTGCCGTTGAATTCAGGTTCAACTGTAACACAGCAGAGCTGTGGAAGTGGTTTGTACAGGTTCTCTAATCCCTATCTCTAGAATTTGGGGGAAAACCCTAGCCCAGGCTGAGGTAAACCGCGGTGGCCATGCCCGCGGCGCAGACGGCGACGACCCTCCCGACCACCGGGGGAGCGGCGCGAGCCACGATGCCTATCCCGACGACCCCAGCCGCGGTTGCGGGGGCGCGGAGGAGGTCCGCAGCTCCGGCCAGCACGGCCTCCCTGAACAGCTCGACGGCAAACTCCCGGAACTGGAGTCGCGAGAGCTCTGCCTCGTCCTCTAGCCCAGCGGCGCGGAGCGCGGCGTCGACTCGGGCGCGGGGCGGCGGCGAGGGCACCCAGCGCCGGACCAGCGGGACGGACGCGCTGAGCTCCGAGTGGAGGTGCGCGGCGGCGTCGGCGAGCTGGTACCGACGGACGCCCGGGAAGTGGCGCTGCGCGTCGGCGAGGCACCGGTCGAAGGCGGCGTCGCAGGCGGCGGCGAACGCCGGCGCGCGGCGCAGCGCGGCGTCCACGCGCTTGGAGGGGCTGATGCCCATCTGGGTGCGTGCGCGCGGAGTGATGCTCAAGGGCCGTTCGGCAGGGCTGGAGCAGAGTCTGCACGAGAATCACTCCTTAGCCGCACAACAGAATCCCGTGAGGATTTTGATGGGAAGCACGCAGAATCAAATTGTCATTTACACCAGGAGTTATGCTAAAAAACCTAGAATTACATTAATTTTAGTTTGGAGCAAAAATATTGTAAAAAAAAATTTTTAAGATTTTTAAATCACATCGAATCTTTTGAGACAGTTGTCCATGATCGGAAAAGTATTAAATATAAATATAAAAATTGCAAAAACAAAACACAATTAGATCGTAAGTTTTTTCACTCTCTCTCCATCACATCAAATTTTTAGACATATGTATGGAGTATTAAATGTAGATAAAAAATAACTAATTACACAATTTGATTGTAAATTACGAGACGGATCTTTTGAGCCTAGTTAGGCCATGATTGGACAATAATTATCAAATACAAACGAAAGTGCTATAGTGCAAAATACTAATTTCTAACACCAATCTAAACAAGAACTAGAGTTAAGCTAAAAACCTAGCTCCTCGTGACTCCATATTCAATCAATCAATCACCATCAAAATTACTCTAAATTAATTCTCAGCTGCTCTCTGCCATGCTCTTCCATCAAAATCAACTAAAATCACTCAATGAGACATCAAGGAGCTAGAGCTAAAGCAAAGTTAGGGGGAAGGCTACATAGCTGTTATTTGTGCATCCTGTTCTTGTGCTTTAGTGGATTGTTGTGTTGCTCATCTTTTGCAAAACTGTGTTTATCGTTGGCAAGATCTGAACTTGCTGGTTCAGGCTTACAGTAGCCGCAACATTGTGACATGGTCTAAAGCAACTTGCAGTTTTCTTATGATGCAGATGACTGGTAATCCCATTCCTGAGCTTTGAGGTTCTGCAAGGTTTGCCCTTTGTCCTTTGGGATCACTGCACGTTTGCACCAATAGCCTAGAGTGATCCGACCCTGACAGGTTAACAGGCTTGCCAATGTGACAAGAGCCATGACGCTTGTTTGCTGAGGGCAGCCGTGATGGGATTGGCTTTGCGACCCTCGCTGTCCCAAAAATAAAAAGACGTTATTGCTTTTCAAGAAGTCAATATTTTTTTAATTTTGACCAATTATATATAAAAGAATATTAATATTTATAATATATAATTAATATTATTAGATCGATCGTTGAATATATTTTTATAATAAACTTATTTGGAGATTTAAATGGTGCATACATTTTTTATAAATCTAGTTAAAGTTGAGAAAATTTGACCTCTACACATCCCATATCGTCTTCTTTATGGGATGAAGGGGTATCAGCCATCAAGTCTCTACATACAATGGTTTCTCACTAGGTGCCTAAACAAAGTTTTACAAGTTGATTTTTTTTTTGAGAAACAGTTTTACAAGTTGGTTATAATAACTTCCTAGTGTTGGGGGGAGGCATCTCGAACAGGCCACCCCAACTGGTGTTTGGACGTTCACGAACCCCCGCTCTGACCCCTCGCAAGCGAAGGTCTCCCTATGGCATGTTCTTTCAGGTGCCCGTGGAAAATAAGGACGAGGCGATGGTGACGCTTGACGGGAGAATGCAGAGCCAACGGAGTCCCGGAGAACCCTCGGTGAGCCCCGCAGCAAGTGGAACCAAAGACGCTCGAGATGCTAGGGTCGCTGGCGGTCAGTGGTTGACGTTGGGGGTAGTTGGCTAGGGTATGGGAAGTTACCCCTCTACCCAAAGACAATGTACTGACAACCGGGGCGCTACGACAACCCTAATGTAATTTGCTACCGTCCTAGGGATGCTCTATAAATATCCTAGGGCACCACTGTTTGGACAAAAGTGAGTTTTTGGGTCAATTTAATGAACAATTAATCCACATTTAGTTCCACATTTTCCCTTGGATTACCTTCGGTTTGCATCTTACTTAGCACATGTGGGAAACCCTCGTCCTCCCCCCGCCAGCCTCTAGCGAGGGTAGGAGGCAGGAGGGACCCCACACCTAGTTTTCTTGTGCACAACAAATTTTTTTTTTGAGAATCGCACAACAACTTACATGTGTAGGAGTAATAACTATTTTAAAGGTGTACAGTAGAACATCCTAACAGGGCCCGACTTCTATCCAAACAAACTGGGCTGTGTCATTAAAATTTTGTTCTTGGTTGGATATTGAATAGTAGGCTTCGGTTGGTATGTTGGGATGATTTCTGTTGTGGGCCGGCCGAGAAGGTCTACTGTACCTGGCTCCTTATGGGCCGGGACAGTTACTCATGTTTCCTACTTGGTCTGAAAAAAAAAGAATGAAAACAAGGACTAGTATTGATGTGGCTCCATGGTCCATGCTGCAAGTGGCAGGTAGTTAGAGCAGTTAGTACAAGCGTTGCACGTTGAAAGGCTTCTCAAGCAGTCGACCACCGACCGGCATGTGGCCCATAGAGAAGTGCGTAGGGTCAATGGCTGGAGATGGAGGAGGCCATGATATATGGATAGTAGGAGCATAGGAGAGTAGGCGGTTAGTTCCGGTACTCCATCGCCATGGTATTCAGCGGCAGGAGGCGCGAGATTGCCCGGCCGGCCCTGAATTTTAACCCAACACCCCACGACGGTGCGCGTCGGGGGAGGTAAACAATGGCAGGGAGGCGTCCGGACGCAGCTTCTATCGTCGCCACCTAAATTTCCGAGAGCTCTAAATGCGACCGCGTGATGAGTGCTCGATCATGCACTCTTTCGGATCCGGCAAAGCATGCATGTTCATGTCCAAAAGGTACCACGAAACTTGTTAGAATTTTTACAAAATAAAAAGAAGCACCACGTCTTTAATTGTGTGAAAAAATGGGGCTATTTTTCTTTTTATTTTTTTTGAGCAAGAATGAAAGGGTTGTCTATTGTGGCGATGAGGCCCAAGTATACATAACACTTTTTTCATTCCAAATTATAAGACATTTTAATTTTTCTAGATATAGATTTTGTTATGTATATAGTGTTAGATTGATCTCTAACCTAATTGGACCCAACGGCCCAGTTGGGCCTTTTGATTTACGCCCTGATCGGGGGCGCCTAGCCTACCATGGCTGGAGGGCCCCTATCACCCTACGCTATAAAAAGAGGTGGGGGCCGGCGGCTCTTATCACGAGGTTGACCTGAGCCAACCTCCCCACCGACAAACCCTAAAACCGATCTAAGTGAGGGGCGCAGCCAGTGACGGGAAGTACCTCCACCGCTGCACTGTGCCGCCGTCGATCTTCACCGCCGGCACCGCATCTCCGACCCGTCTTCCCCGACCGTCGCTGCCCGTGCGCATACTACATCAACGAACCCGATGGCGGCATCCAAACCCTCCCCCTCTGCCGTGTCAGGTTCGGTACTTTTCCCCTTCCCTCTCTGCCTCAAGCACTAGGATGTACAACGTCTATTTTATCTTGAATAGAATCAGTCTATGGCTAGATCTATGATCCTAGTGTTCCTACGGTCTTAACAATGGTATCGGAGCCATCGGTTTCTAGGATTTTAGATCTAGAACGGGTAAACCGATTAGAAAAGGAAAAAGAAGATTAGATCCAGTGCGAGTCTAAGAAGAAGAAGAGGGTTTTAGCCGACAAAGGGTTCGGTTGAACCCTAATTGCGATCCCTTCGGATCTGAGAAAAGAAGAGGGTTCGGATGAACCCTAACCCTAACTGGGTAAAAGAAAGACAAGAGGGTTTTTGGCCTTAAGAATGTAAAATGCCGAACCCTAAAACCGTAGTGTCCCTCTGGGGAAGATAAACAGTGCCATCCCGAAACCCTAACCCTAACACAGTTAAACCCTAACCCATCCCAATCGGTCAAAACCGAGAAGAGCAAACAGATCCAAATCCGATTAGGGAATAAGGGGAAAGGGATACCTACCTACTGCATTGCCTTGGCCAGCGTTCTAACATCCGCCGCACAAGCGGGGGAAAAGAAAGGGCCGAGCCGGGGGCACTGCTCGCCGGGCTCCGGCCAAAGAGGCACCCGGCCAGGCCACTCGATGGTGGGCGCTCTCACCATTGGGGGAGCGCGCAAGACGTCATTAAATAACGCGCGTTGTGCTCCATCGCGCCGCGCGTCGCTTTCGCTCGGTGCTCTGATCAAGAGAGAAGAGAGAGCGGTGAAGAGAGAGAGAGAGCAGAGGAGAAAGTGAGCTAGGGTTTCTGAGGAGGCCGACGTCGGTGGGTTTTTATTCACCTGAACTCACCGCTCGGCTGTCGATTCGGCGCGGACGGCCGAGATCAAGAGGGCCGGCCGATGCGATTAAAAAAGCGTAGCGCTGCGGCCGAAGTCGCTTTGCCGCCCAGCCTGTGTTACGGCACAAAGTGCGGCCGAAGCGCCACTGTGAGCCGTGGGCCGAGTTGATTTTGGCCGTTTTGGGCCGAGAAAGAAAGAGCAAGAGCCCGTTTTTCATATATTTCTTTTTCCAGGAAATTGAAAAATGGAAATTGGCTCAAAAGTAAATAGAAAAAGAATTTCCCTGTGGGTAAAATTCAAGAAAATGAGTTCATTTATTCCGCTACGTATTTAAAGATGTTATTTTCATTATTAAATTTGAACCAACGGGAGAATTTAATTTTGAAAAATAGATATGTTTTAATTGATTATAATATTGTTATTATTCTGACCAACGTTGATTAATGGCAATATTATGATGAGTTTGTCATGCATTAATTCTATTTCTGTCCAACGGTGATGTAGAATTAATGTAGAGAACAATTGTATGTTTTAATTTTGACCAACGTTGAAAATAAGACATGCAATTATTATTGTTATAATTTATGTTCTCACTCTATTTGAATTATGTTTTCAGGCGGATACAACTTGATGAGTTGTATCAAAGAGATTCCCACTCTCAAATGTGATAACTATATTGAGTGGAAGAAAAAGATAGACCTGGCCTTCATCTTGGCTGAGGTGGACTGGATAGTCACCACACCGTGTCCCACAGAGCCTGTGGCACCGGTGAGGAGACAA